AAGACAAGAACAAAAGCAGGTGTCCTGAGTGGTGTGTGCATTGTGGTGGCCACATGGGGTGTGGGAACACATGGGAAGTAGTATCTTAGTACGGGGTAGAGATAGCAGTGAGGGCTTCCTGGAGGTGGCGTTTGACCTGAATTTTGAAGACTGAGTGAGCAGGCAGAAGAGGCAAGAAAACAAGGGTGACGAGTCAGGAATTAACATTGTGTTGGGTCCTGAACAATTGCCTGCACGAGGAGCAGAACATGCAAAGTGACAAGAGCCAGACGATCAAAGGCAGAGAGGGCTACAGAGGCTGGATTCCGGAGGCTCCGGGAAAGACCTGGGACTCTGTTGCAAAAGCAGTAAAGAGCCATGGGGGACTTCTTAGCAGGACAGTCACACAGTGAGATGTGTTCTTTCTGGAAAGGTCTTCAGCAGGGAGGAGCAAGAGTGAAGGACAGGTGTGATACAGTTAGAAGGTAACTGTAGAGGCCTGGACGAGAGGGGCTGTGCTTTCAGTAAAGACCCAGGAAGTAGGGATGGGACAGGAGGGGTGGGCTTGAAAAATCCCTAATAGGGTAAAATCAACAGGCCTGACTATTCATTGTGTGAGCCACAGAGAGAGGAGCCACTGCAAATTTCCAGCTCGGGTCACTCTAAGAGTGAGCAGAAAAGCACCATCGAAGTTTTGCAAGACCCGGCAAGATTATGGAAAGGACACTTGGCTCAGAAAAAAAGCTGAGGGTCAGGCCAAGGTAACGAGGGGTAAACCCAACAGGTGCGGCCTCAGGAACAGGTGCATGGCCAAAAGCAGCCAAAGGCAGGCTCTCTCGTCACCTTAGGCTCCTCCAGCGGCCCTGGGTACCCTGGGCTTTGTATCTTGAAGAACAACAGGACATAAATCCACGGATGCGCTGTCTCATCGGCCCCGTGACAAAGGGACTTGAATGATTTAGAGGCAGAATATTCTTTTCTCCGTAATGGCTCCTGGAGTCTCCAGGAATAGTACATTTACTAAAATTAATGGCAAAGGCTCATTTTTCTTTTTTCCAGGAAGAGAAGTTCCATCGGTGGGATAATTGATCCTGATCTGGACGTGCTGGTGCACCAGCCAGGGGTGTAAATCATTCACACAGAGCAGCTCGAAGCCTCTAAACCAACAGCAATAGTGACAAATGGGACAGGCTGGGGACAGGCGGAAAGGAACACAGAGGGAAGATCCATCACACCCTCTCGCTTCTCACGGGGCCAGAGTGCGGGATCCTTTTCTCTGGCCTCCCCCAGCCGAGCCATCTCTCAGCAGCACTGGGCTGAGAGGGCAGACGCGGACACGCAGGGATAACTTTAGATCGGACACAGGGCTGCCAATCCCAGCTCTACCACTCCGCATGCTGCGGCCCTGGGTAAGGCCCCTCACAAGCTGAACCTCCACCTGCTCGACCTGCTGGGTTGGACACAGTGAGAAAGACGGCAACGTCTGCAAAGGACCGGAGCACAGAGCGACTCATAAATATTTGTCCAGCCCTGGCTGGTTTTGCTCAGCGGTTAGAGCATCAGCCCGCGGACCAGAGAGTCCTGGGTTCGGTTCCCGCTGAGGGCACGTACCTCGGTTGCAGTTTGTCCCCAGCCCTGGTTGGGGTCGTGTGGGTGGCAGCCAGTTGATGTGTCTCTCTCACATCGATGTTTCTCTCTCTCTCTTCCCCACCTCTCTCCCTTCCGTTCTATCTGAAGATAAATGCAAAAATGTCCTCGGGTGAGGATAAACAATTTTTTTAAAAATAACTAAACAAATATTTGTCCAGGGAATGAATGAATGAATGAATGAATGAATGAATGAATGAATGGTTGGACTGGGGCATTAGGAAATTAATTCTACTCCTCCCAGGGAGACTTGAATTTCATAAATTGAAAATGAAGAGGGCAATGCTTTACCCAAAGAAATGCTTTGAGTTGGTGACAGGGAGCACGATCCCCGAAATGCTGGCACGCAGACACCTTGTCTCACGGTGGAAGCTCTGAGGGCCCCTGACAGAGAGGAATGTATAAAATACACGGGTCGTGACCTTCGTCTTCTCTCTCCATTCAATGTGAGCAACTTGAGAGCAAGACTGGGTCTTGGTCTCCCCTGGGTCCCCAACATCTAGCATGAGGCTTGACCCACAGTAAATCTGGGGACACATACATAGTGCATGAATGAAAGGACCCGGACCCTTTGCAGGCGTTGGGTGGGGTGTCTAGAGGACACACGGCATGGAGCAGCCACCCCGTCTTGCAGAGGGGATGGAGGAAGGCACACTGGTGGCACAGACATGGACCTGGACAGAGGACATGGCACCTCCTGAGAAGCCTGGGAAAGTTCAGGAAGCCAGGCCAGTGGGAGGGGCCTCGGCCCCCGGGTCCATCCTACAATGACAGTGCTCTTTGAACTCTACCTTGTCAGCTTCTGCAGAGCAAAGACCGATGACGCCTTGCCCCTCCCTACCACCACCCATCCCTGTGCCTTGCCCATAGTTGGTCTGAAGAAATATACTCGAATGAATAAATGCACGATACAAAAATATACTGACATCCTCTCTTCTCCCAGTAAAAGTATCCCAGGCCCCAAAGGCCAGGGGCACACTGGAGGGCAAATAGGTTGGTGAGTTGGGGACATCCACAGTCAGGAAGGGTCTGCCGGCCTGCCATTGTCCCTGTGGGCCTGGCTCGGCCACAGAATCACCAAGAAAACAGCCAGCTGTGTGAGGTCACTGCAGCACACCAGCGACGCGGGGACACGCCCCCTTCTCCTGCGGTGGGTTCAAGGGTGGTTCCCACAAGGTCCCGTCCACCAGCACCTGTCGATGTGACCTTATTCAGAAAACGGGTCCTTATTGATATAATCAAGATAAAGAGCTTGAGATGACATCAAGCAGGACTTAGGTGGGCCCTGAATCCCACCGCAGGTGTCCTTATGAACAAAAGGCAGAGAGGTCTGTGAGACATACGGACACAGAGAAACCCCAGCCTTGGGAAGACAGAGGCAGAGACGGCGGTGACGGAGCCCTAAGCCGGAGAGCACGTGGGGCCCCAGATTTTGGAGCAGCAGGGAGGATTCTCCCCAGAGCCTTAGAGGGAGCACTGCCCCGCCAACACCTTGATTTCAGAGTCCGGGGGTCTCCATTGTTCAAAGCCACCCAGTGTCTGGTAATTTGTCAAGGTGGCCCGAGAAAACAATCTCCCGACCACAAACACACCAAAATAAAGAGAAAAGTTCAGCCTCGGTGAATTTATCCGGAGTCTTGCAATAATATAAAAACAAAACAAAACAGAGAACAATGCAGCTCTAATTTCAACATACGGGCAGGCTTTGTGTTTTATGGTTTTGTGTTATTTCTATTTTGATTCATATGCGGGGGTTGCACTATAATCTTTTCGGTATTTGGGGGCCTTGAAAGATCTTAATGAGTCCCTGGGAAGGGGGGATAGGAAGAGGAGAGTGCGCAGAGAGAAGCAGAGAAGAAAAGAAACGGAGAGAGAGAGAGAAAGCAAAGGAGAGAGGGGAAGACCCATTTTGCTCTGGCCAGAAGGCCTGGGTGTCTGGCCAGTTAAAGAAGACATCAGAGGAGAAAGACTGGGGTGTTCTCGTTCCAGCCAGAGCTGGCAGGCGGGGCGGGGCTGCCGGAGAAGCGGGCTGGTTCCTGGGAAGTCATCCTGTCGACTGGATGGAGGGAGGGCTCTCCCCCAGGGCCTGGGGCTGGGAGAGCCGCCAGTCATGGGCTTGGACGTTGTCTGGGGACCTCCTCTCTGTGCGGGGCCTCACCACCTCCCACACAGCAGCCAGCCCGCTGGCTTGTCAAGGGCAAAGCTGATGGGAATGACATTGACCATGGGGGGCAGTGGCCAGGGACATATACCTGCTGGAGGACAATTTGGTGAGACCTGTCACAAAACCAGAGCGGACTGCGCAGGAAGGCGCTAATGACCGACTCGGAGAGCTCTGGGCCACGCCTTGGCGTGTTGTGGGCTGTCTCCGTGAAGGCTCCGTGGCGGGGGGCCACGGGGGTACCAGAGGTCCCCTGGGTCGCAGAAGCAAAACCTGGAGTCCTCCGGCTATTTACCTTGTGGGTAAAAGGAGGAGCGGGCTCTCTCAGATGCTCTGTGATCTCAGCAGGGAACTGTTCTCAGAAAAATACACTGAATCAAGAAACCTTCCCACTGGGCAGGAAAAGATTTTAATTGTTCTTGGCCCGCGCCAGGGAGTGGAGCACGGCTAGGTGAGCATGGCTAAAAGCAGAGACTGGAGAGTTGGACAGACCCAGATTCAAAGTGTTACCAGCCCGTGGCCTTGGGCAAGTCAACGCACTGTTCGGAGCCTCAGTGAGCATGTTGCTGCCCACGTGCCTCAGTTTCCCTACTTGTAAAGTGGGGATAAGAACAGTACCTATCTCCCAATACTGACAAGGGGATTGTAAATGACAAATGTTTAACCTAGAACCTGGCATATAGCAAGCGTTCAGTAAATGGTGGGGTTAACATTATCCTGTTAATCTTTTATATGTGTTGTTGTTATTAATAGTCCAGGAAGAGCACCGGCATTGACTAGATGTCAACTTTCACAAGTTATCTCAGCTCTTTGAAGCCTCGGTTTCCTCATCTGTAAAATGGGATGATGATTCTGACTTTGCAGCCTTAGGACGATTCCATGATATTAGGGGTGTTAAGGCTTGATGCACGGTAGCCATTGAATAAACACCGATTCCTTCCTCTTCCCATGAGGCCGCCCTGCCCTTGGAGTGACACATGTGAGGCAGGAACTGGAGTCAGACACAAAGGAGCTTGGAGATCATCCAGGAGTGAATGTCATTGGTCCACTTTGGGCCCACCCCCAGAGTTTGCAGCCAATGGCAGCATGTCTCTCTGCCCATCCCCTTCTGGTTCCCCCTACTTCTGGCCTACAGGCCCTAGAGACTGTTCGCTGTTCGCTGCCCGGTCTCAAGCCTGGGTCCCAGGAGAACGCGCACAGGGGCAGCACTCACCAGCTCCAAGCACCTCCGGCTGGCCTCCGCCTCCCGCTGCACCAGCTCCTCCATGTCCGCCTTCAGCTCCTCCAGGCGCCGCTGGTAGTACTGGCTGCTCTCCCGCTGCTGGGACTCGGCCACGGCTGCCTGCGACAGCTCCTCGCCCATCTTGATCAGACTGTCCCGAAGCCGGATCACCAGGACCTGGAGCAGAGCACACGCCCACCTTGGCGTTAGAGGCCGGGGCAGGGAACCGGGGTCCGGGAAGAGGGATCCTTTGCCGAGTCTCTGTGTGTTTTTATAATCCGGAAAATCATTCTGATTTCTGGCATAAAAATGAAGAATGCACTCTAAAAATCGAGGAAATGATAACTGATATTCTCAGAGGCCGCGTGGTATACTGATGAGAACCCTGACGCTGAACAAGATCTGGGTTCAAATCCCAGCTCTACCTCTTCCTGGCTGTGTGACCTTGGGCAGGTAATTTAACCTCGCTGAGAGACGGGCATGGTCAGAGCACCTCCGTCCCAGCGACACTGTGAGGACTGAACAGGTTAAGTCATGCAGAAGGCTGAGCTCAGTGCCAGGCGCTCGGGACATTCGGATAAGAGTTGGGAACTGTTTGTATTTATAGTGGCCTTCATGCCTCTCAAGGACTGGGAAGCAGAGTGGTCAGTGGAGCGATCACTGCCCCGGCGAACACGCCCTTCCCCAACATGGGTTTTGGTTTCCCAATCTGTCTAACAGGGAGGTTTGAGTAGGCAATCTCCCACAAGCCTCAGCCCCGCTGTTTTACGGCATGTGTCCTTTCCTGGGGGGACAGATTCCACGAGGACACAATGACACCACAGAGAGAAGGGCCGTGGGCATCCGCAGTGCTACAGGAAACAAACCCGAGGGCTGTTCTGCGGAATTCCTCAGTTCCAGCGAGCCTGGGAGCAAATGGTTCCGGTGGGCCAATACTGAGTGCTGACCTAAAACGAAGCCCACCTGCACATTCAGGCCCTTGCTGGGAACGCCCAGCGCCCCTCCAGATCAGAGACAGAAGAAACGCTTTCTTATTACTCGCTTCTCCTTCGCCTTTCAAATGCAGTTCAGCAGCACTGTCAAAGGGCGCAGGTGGCTTACAAGGAAGTAGACTAGTTCCCAAACTCTGTCCCAGAAGCACCCATCTCAAGGACCTGGGATTCCACCCAATTCACATGATGGTGGGGGGCGGGAAGTGGGGAGTGAATTTGGAGATCGACTCTGCCATTTAAAGATATTCTACAATAGTTTTCTTCTCTGCGATCACTCGACTACGCTAGAACCAAGTGAAAAAAGATACACAATAGAGCCCAACATTAGGTGTTTAATTATTTAAAATACAGCAGATCAACGTTTCGAGGTGCTCTGCAGAGACGATTATGCTTTGAGGGATGCCCTGAGAAATTCTGCGGGTCACGGAGGGTCAAGACGAAGAAGAATGTTTCTTTGTTCTTCACCCGCAGCAGAGTTCTTAGAGACCAAATGCCCGAGAAGGGGTGGGGAGGAATGTTCCAGAACGAGGCACGCAGCCTCTCATTGTCCAGACGCCCTGCCCTGCGGTGGGTAAGCCAGAGAAATGAAAGCCTGGGTCCAGGGTGGAGGGACGGGCAAGTGTCAGTCTACTCCTGTCACTGATGCTACCTGGCTTTGTCTTGAATAAATCACTTGCCCTCTCTGGGGTCATCTCGCTCCATCCTACCTGCCCCATGGGGCTGTAGTGACTGGTCAGTGGAAGAGCTGATGTGAGAGGATTTGGACAATGATAATATCCGCAGTCGATGTCTCGTGTCATCGGCCGAGAGAGAGCTAAATATGAATATGAATAGAATCACTGAACTCCAGGCCAGTCCATTCGAGTCTTATCTGTCTGTCAAGGTCCAGCATCAACGCCACCTCCTCCTGGACGTCTCCCGGGTTCCCCGGCCCGAAAGGACCTCTGTCCTCCAAGCCTCACAGTCCTCTCCCCATGTTGTGGGTATTTGTGCACACACCTTACCCTCGCCCACAGCGCTCTGAGGTCTGGAAAGAGTCTGTTTCTTACATCTACAACAGCCTAGCACACACCGGATGCAAAGCCAATGTCTGCGCAACGTGAGTGTGGGGCGGTAAGCGGATGGATGGGTGAGTAGGTGGGGACGGCAGAGGGGGATCAGAGACGGGCAGGCGGGCCAAGGTCTGCAGGGAAAATACACGGAGGGAAGAAAGAATGAAGGGAGAGGGGACAATGAGCACATGGAAGGGGGATGATGGAAGGACCGACAGTGGCTTATGGGGTTGGAGAGAGACAGTGGAGGTGGACAGGTTGAACGGACAGGTAGTGTGTGGAACAGTGTGATTGGAGAAAGGAGGGAAGGAGGGAGAGAAGGAACTGATAAGGGAGAGATGAGGGCGTATCCAGATAAAGGCACAGGCGTGGACAGATGGAGGCGGAAGGACGGACAGAGCTTACACACACTGCTCACTCCTCCAGGCCCGAGCGATAGTCACACACCAGCCAAGTACCTCAAACCTCTTAATCTGCACTTTCTGGAACTCCGTCTTGTTCTCCAGGTCACAGATGACGGCCTCCTGCCTGCTGACAATGGCCCGATCCACGGTGGACTTCTCCAGATACTCAATGCGCATCTGAGCCACCTGCAGCTGGGGACAACACAGGGGCTCCGTTGGCCACCCGCCGGCCCTGCGTCCCGGGATGGAGACACACGCGGGCCCCAGCCAGGCCTCTCCCCCCCGCTTCCCTCTCGGCTCAGGTGCTGTATGCTGAATGCAAATAAGAACTGCTGATTGCGATCCAAGGACCCTCATCCAGACCAGGGTCTCAGGGGCTGGGAGGTGACATTTCCTGGGCCTCTGCGGCCAAAACAGGACTTTCAAACAGTGCCTCTCTCACCTTCTCCCCCTGCTGGGCTAGGGGAGCGAAGCCAGTCGGTGTGCAACAAGCCTCAGCATCCAGGGGCACAACCCAAGGGGTCGGGAGCTAAGCAGCTGTACCAGAGTTGAAACCCGCCGCCACTTTTCAGCTGCAGGAGCCTGGGCAAGTCGGGTCCCTCCCCCGAACCTCAGGGCTTCACGCCTTCCTGGGAGGACTGAAGAGGAGTGCTGAGACCCAGCAAATGGCCACTGCTGCTGTCCTTTGTGGTGCTCGTGACCCGGTGCCTGTGGGCATCTGACTGGCCCTCAGAGACTGCTGTTCTCGAACAGCTTTGAGAACGTCAGGGGTAAGACGACCCTCAAGCGAAGGAGGGAAGTCAGGGGTTTGGAGGAACCTTGACAAAGGAACATCTCCCAAAGGAGGGTGACCCTGTCTTGCCCAGAGCGTCCCATTTCCTTGGAGCCATTTCTCAGAGGGAGAAACTTCGTCACCAAAATGCTGCTGGGTCTACGGCCCGGGACATGTTTGGATGCTGACCGGGCACAGGCAAGAGTGTGTGTGTCTGTCTGCGGAGACTGCTGTCAGTTCCTCTGGCATAAGACTGAATGAGTGAGTGAGTGAGTGAGTGAACGAACGAACGAACGACAGTGTCCAGGACCCAGTGTGTGGCCCCGGAGGGAACCCAGCGCTTCCCTTCCTCCCCCACGGGGCAGCAGCGCTGAGCACATACTTGTTCCTGCAGCCGGTGCTTCTCCTTCTTGGCTTCCTCCAGCTGCAGCTGCAGCTCTTGGATCTGCCCAATGTCAGCAGCAGACTGGTTGGTGAGACAGAAACACGTCACCCCGAGAGCTCAGGCCCTGCTGGGAAACAGCCCCTGGCAATCCCTTCTTCCCCACCCACAGACGTCTAAATCTCCCCGAGTCTCTGTGACAGTGGCTGGTTCCAAAGGGGCGCCTCTCACATCCTCCCCCACGTCCTTCATCTCCGTGTTCGCCAAGTCACTCCCGTTATATAAGCCCGGCGCTTTGGTCACCAGCCTATAACTTTATTACGTACCCTTGAGAGCCCAGACAGAAACACACGGGCCGCAGCCCTAGGACCAGATTCTGAGGGAAGAGAACTATTCTGAACATCAGGTAACTAGGATTCCGGACCTGGATACTGGCTTTGGCCCAGGGCCATGTTGCACCCCAGTATTCCCATTTGCAAAATGGGCTGCTTGTCTCTGCTTAGCCCTTCTGTAAGGGGTTTGTTCAGAGATTAAATGAGGCAATAAAGAGTAAAGTTTCTTTAAAAAAAAAAAAGAAATAGAGCTCTGGCCAGTCTTGCTCAGTGGTTAGAGCATCAGTCCACGGACCAATGAGTCGCGGGTTCAATTCCAGCCAAGGGCACATACCTGGGTTGCAGTTCGTCCCCGACCCTGGTTGGGGTCGTGCAGGAGGCAACCAGTCGCTGTGTCCCTCTCACATCGATGTTTCTCTCTCTCTCCCTTTCTCTCCCTCTCACTCTATCTCAAGATAAACAGAAAAATATCCTCCGTGAGGATTAAAAAAACAAGTAGAACCAAACTGTTAAGCGTGATTATATCCAATGAGAGGGATTCCAGAGGCAGGAGGGTCCTTCAATTTCTATTTTCCACGTGTATTTATCATTGAAGTAATTTACAATGGACATATGAATATGAATAGGCTGCTTTTGGAACGGAACAAATAAAGAAACTTCCATTTTGAACAAAAGCAAGTGTGATTCACAAACGCAGAGGACGGCACAGGCTATTTTTGTGGTGGCTGTTATCACAGTGATGATATAATTGATTTCTTTCTGTTATTATCATTCCTTGTGTAGCAGAAACCCCCTCAGATCAAATCTCTGCAGGATGCATGTGAAACCTGGCAGGCATTCTACCGGGATCTCCTCTGGGGGTACAATGTGGGGGAGGTGCTCACTGCTCTTGGAGGGAGCGATTGTGAAATTATGCAAATCAGATCAGCTATGCAGATCAGAAATCTGCCAGGGGTCCTCACTGCATCCCTCAGCTCCAACCGAAACCTCTGCTGCCCCCTGTCCTGCCATCGTGCCTCCTAATTGTTTTCTGGGTTCATCCACTCCCCACCCCCCATCTCCACATCAGCTCCTTGGTCCAAACCCGCTCTCTCTCCCCTGGACTGCGCTTTCGTTCATCCAGTAGCTGCCTACTGAGTGCTGACTCCAAGCCGGGCTCTATCTGAGGCTCTGGGATACAGCAGTGGGCAAGGCAGAGAAGCCTGTCATTGTAGAGCTGACCATCTTGGGTGGCATCCTGGCCACTGCTCTCCTGCTCTCGCCCCTGAAAAACTTTCCAGTGATTCCCATCACACATAAAATGAAATCCAAACCCATCACAGTCTTGGGTCCTCCTCTGCTGGCCTCATTGAGCTCATCCCATGCCTCTCAAGTGAACCATCATAGGCCCTCTGTGTGTGCTGTTCCCTCACTATTTCCCTCCCATCTACCTACTGCTCCTTGTTCAGATCTCCAGCCAAGTGCCACCTCCTCGGGGGAGCCTTCCCTGACCTCCCACAGAGCTCAGGATTTGCAGAACCATGTTCGTTTTCTGTCTGGACTCTTAGCTGGGTTTGCAAGTCTCGCCCCTCTGCTCTGGGTGACTATGTGATAAGGTCTGCCCAGACCTCTACAATGAGCTACATGAAGGCAGGAATGGGGTGTGCTTTTACTCAACACAGTATCCTTGTCATTTCACATGGTGCCTAACACATAGTGGAATGCTGAATGAATGAATGAATGAATGAACGAACAAATGAATGACGTTGATAGATGGAAGGGTGGATGCATGGATGGGTAAGTGAGTGGAAGGATGAATGAATGGATGGATGGATAAATAAATGGATAGGTGGTGGGTGGGTAAATAAAAGATAGGTGAATGGGTGGATTGATTAGCAGATGGATGATGAATAGAGGAATATTTCAATGGGTAGATGGATGAATAGCTGTATGACTAAATCCATACCTTTCTTGAGGAGATGTCCTCCAGAGATACACACACCATCTGAAGGTGACATTCTCCTCCCTGAAGGACACATGCACTTTCACAGTTCCCATATATCTTTGTGGCAATTCCTATATATCTTTGTGGAGACCTTAGGACCAGACCAGGGAGTGGCCCAACTACATCACCTTCTCAATATCCCCTGCCTACCCAGCCCAAGGCCACCAAGCCTTCTTCCACCTCAGGCTCTTACCTGGGCAATGAGGTCCTTGTGCTTCTGCATGAGGTCGTTCAGGTCATCCTGGTCCTCATCGATGCGCTTCAGGAGGTCCGCTCTCTCAAACTGCAGCCGGTACAGCTGCTCGTCCACCTGGCAGGGGGCAGGACAAGGGTCGGGGTGAGGCAGAACGGGGGGTGACTGATGTGGAGCAAAGGGGGGCTTGCCTAGGTGTGTCAGGTGAGTGACCATCTACATGTAAAGGTGGCCATGATGTGTCAGGGCATCTGTGAGTATGCCAGCTGTGTGTGTGTGTGTGTGCGCACGCACCAGTTCCTCTTAATCTAGTGCAAATGAAATCTTGGACCAAAGGGTCGATAGAAATCTTGAGATAAGCTTTTGCTTATAAATTTCTAGCTGCACCTAAACCGTAGGATTTCACACATAAAGTATCAATTTAAGTGAACCCTGTACACGCAGACAGAGGACTTAGGAACCCATGGCCCAATTTTGACCAACATTACAGAACCGTAACGTATGTTCATATGTCCCTGTTCAGTGGTGAGCACACAGTAGGTCCATAGTAAGTGGTTGGGTCCCTTACAGTGGTGAGCTAAGAGGGTCCATGAGAATTGCTGTGGTCTCCACTTATAAGACTGGGCACGCAATAGCCCGTCGGGAATGACAAGTCCCCCCCTGTGTTGGACTACAACAGATGCCTGGGAACCACCTACAGGGGTGAGCATGCTCCGTGGGAACGATAGAAAGTGGTGTTCTCACTTAGGATGCTGAGCAAACAATAGGCTCCTATCGGATGCACCTCCGTATACTGAGCACACATTGGGTCCACAACAGGCTTCTTCGTCTACCTTTGCAGAGGTGACCAAACAGCTGACCCTCATATGTGCCCTTATAGCTTCATCATGAGATGCCTTCATCATAGTCAGATGCCTGCACTTTCAGAGTGTTGAACACCCAGTAGGTCTACAGTGGATGTCTATAGCTCTAAGGTGGCACCCAGTAGGTCCACACTAAGTGCCCTTTCCCCTCTTATAGTGCTAAACACACAGTAGGTCCACGCTAGCTCAGAGGCCTGTGCTGGCCCGGGCGCCCCGAGCTTCAGAAAGGGGCAGGTACCAGGCTCTTGCTCCGGGTCATGCTCTCCAGTTCGCTGTGCATGCTCTCCAGGTCTGCAGCCAGGGCCTGCTGCGTCTTCAAGGCGTCCTCACACTTGGCTTCACTCTGCTCCAGCTGGACCAGGCAGGAGGGCAGGAAGGAAAGAGGAGAGGCCTCATGACGCTGCCCTTTGGATGTCCTTCCCCTCCCGCCCAGCCTGGCCCAGCCCAGCCCAGCCCCTCGCAGGCAGAGAATCATTTACAGGTGACTTTCGGGTCTTCACAACTATTCATCAGCCCAGAACCGGAAGCACGCGTGTCTGCACGGAGGCAGCCCGGTCCTGACCCACTCAGAATTGAACAGGCACTGCCCCATGAAATAAGGCCAGCCACCCCGCTTCAGGGCCAGGAGCTAGTCCCCAGTTCCCTTCAGCAAATATTCGCTGACACCTGTGGAGGGCCAGACACGGGACTCGCAGAAACAGTCAACTTGGCCTGTGCCCTCCCGTGGGGGAGACAGGCCGGAAGAGGTAATGACAGCCTCTCCGAGAGTACAGGTGGGAGGAGGAGGGCATGGGGATGCCGGGAAGAGGGGTGGAGATCGAGGAAGGCTTCCTGGAGGAGGTGCTCATAGACAGTTCTCAACCAGAATTGTGAAACCTGTTTTAAGTGGTATGCAAAATAGCCCAGCCAGGGTGGCTCAGTGGTTGAGCATAGACCCATGCACCAAAAGGTCACTGGTTCGAGTCTCTGTCAGGGCACGTGTCCAGGTTGTGGGTCTGATCCCCAGTGGGGGGCATGCAGGAGGGGGCCAATCAATGTTCCCTTTCATCGATGTTTCTATCTCTCTCTCTCTCCCTCCCTCCCTTTGTCTCTAAAATCAACAAAGGGGGGAAAAATAAAAAATAAAAATAAATAAATGCTATGCAAAATATTCCGCATGTGCGCATTTTCCTGGGCCCGTGGCTTTCACTAGGTTCTCGAAGGTCAGGAGCCACCTACTTAGACACAATTTCTCTTTCTCACCCTTCCACCCACTCGCACACAGTGGGCCTGCTATCCTAGCAAACCGGAGCTGTCAAGAAGGGACAAACACCTACGTGGTTCCAGAGGACAGACAGTCCCTACTGGACAAAACCACATCTGTGCACACACAATAGGTCCATTCTGAGACTGGCAGTTTCTCCTTGATTTCTGGATCCTGGAATCTGAGCAGAAATCACCCACGGAAAGCATCGGTGGCTCAGAGAGGGACAGGGCCCGGCCCAAAGTCACACAGCTGCAAGGAGCAAAGACACCACGCGTATGGCCCAGAGCAGAGCACTGTCTTGACGGCTAGCCCGCCGCCCCTTCGAAGCAGTCACGGATATCGAGGGTGGTGTTCAAACGCGGGGGAGAACGCAAGCGGGCTCGAGTCCTGAATGGTGCGTATACGGTCTCTGAGCCCGGAGGCCACTGAGAGAGTGACGTGGCCCCACTGGTCTATAAAACAAAAACAATGGCACCAGGGTGAGGTCACCCCAGGACAACTGGCCAAAGTGGGGCTCGATGGGTCCAGCCCACCTGAGATCAGTTCAGTCTCCCTCCAAAGTGGGCAGAGATGTCCTCCTCGGAATGCCCAGGAGCTCAGCCCCGATGTCACAATAACGACAGCAGAATGTGGGGAGAAGGGAGGCAGCCGTCCATCCGAGTACCAGCTACCAACACCCCGTTCAAGGTTCTACTTGCGTTTCCTCTTTTAATCCCTACCTCAGATCTGAGAGGTATATGCTGCTAATATCCCTATTACATTTTTTACTGGATTTATTGGGGTGACAGGTGAGGACATGGAGACCCTAGCCTACTCCCACAGCTCCCTCACACCGATGCCTCGGGTTCCAGCCCCACCCCCGCCAGTCACCATAATCCACAAAACCCCTGTTTTCAAGACCTAGGGAACAATGTACTCCTGCGCTTGGGCCCAGAGCAGAGCCTGTCAAAGGAGGACTTGGTGGTCCATTTCCTTCAGGGATTAGGAGGGACCAAGACACACTGAGAAAACCGATGTGGCGCCAGGAGAGGTCATTGGCGTCGTGGAATCGTAACTGACAGACATGAGGAGTCAGGCACAGCTTTATTTCCTGCAGGCAGTCTCTGAGAAGGCAGGGAGGTGGCGTGACGGGCTCCCCCTCCACCCTGCAGGCAGGCGGGGCCACACCAGCCCTTGATTCATGCAGAAGTCAGAGGCCTCACTAAGGAGAGGCATTTAGTCTAAGACCTAAAAGACGCAAAGGAGACAGAAAGCCATGTGCAGATTTAGGGGTAAGAGTGCCCTAAATGAAGGCAACAGCAAGTGCAAAGGCCCTGAGGCAGGAATAGGAATAAACTTCATGTTAAGGAGCAGAAAGATAGCCAGCGTGGCTGGACAGCTGGACAGAGAGGGACAGGAGGGGATGATGCTTGTGAGCCAGGATACAAAGGTAGGTTTATTTTCAGTCTGTACTGAAATCACTGATGATTTCTGAGGAGGAGGGTGGCACAGTCTCCCTCTGGCTGCGGCGGGGAGGGTGGCCTTTAGTGGACAAGACTGGAAATAGGGTGGCCGGCGAGGACACTGCTGTGGTCTTCCAGGAAGGAGGTGCCGCAGGTGCTCCAATCAGAGCGGAAATAGAGTAAAAATGGAAGCATCTCACAGTGGGGGAACGCAAAGAACAAAAGGTCTGGGCAGGCGGCAGCAGGGGGGCCATCATGGGAGATGATGTCAGATCCCTAAAGTGGAAGAAAGACACCGCGCAGGGCCCCGCTGCTGGGCCAAGTTGCTGGGCCCTGGGCCAGGAGGCGGGTGAGGATCATTGTAAGAAACTCAGCAGGGCAGCACCGAATAGGATGAGGGCAGCTCCCATCTGGTCAGTCCCTCCTTCGGCGAAGGGTTTCATCAGCACGATGCCACTGGCCCTCGGAGCCACCGGAAAAAGAAGGCTCTATTTTTAACCCCATTTTACAGATGCTATATGGTATAGGATCCAGAAATGCTCCTTCCTTTCCCCAGTCTCCCTGGAGCAAGCAGGGAGAGGAACAATGTATCCCCAGACACAGATGCACAGAGCGAGCACGCAGTCAATGGAGATGGCGGTTGGCGGACTATTAACTCCTGCTGGGTTAGAGACCGCAGGCTCTTGGCCAGCATGGTTTGGGCATCAATGGCCACACCTGTTACTGTTGCTTGGGGACCATTTCCAGGGCACGGTGCTTCATCACAGCCCCCCAACACCTCTAGAAGAAAGGTGCCACCATCAGGAGCAGTCAATATAGGAGGAAACCGAGGCTCAGAGAGGGCAAGTGACTTGCCCACGGTCACACAGTCAGTCGGTCAGTAGAGAAGCCTGGCTGGTCCAACTCCAGAGCCCAACCTCTTCATCGCTGGCCCCACTGCCCTTCTCTGGAACATCTGACCACACAGGTAGGATGGATCAAAAATACAGAACTCGCCCTGGCCGGTTTGGTTCAGTGGTTAGAGTGTCGGCCCGTGGACCAGAGGAGAATCCTGGGTTCGGTTCCCGCTAAGGGCACGTACCTCGGTTTGTCCCTGGCCCCGGTTGGGGTCGTGTGGGTGGCAGCCAGTCAATGTGTCTCTCTCACATTGATGTTTCTCTCTCTCTCTTCCTCCCTCTCTCCCTCCCCCTCTACCTGAAGATAAATGCAAAACTGTCCTGAAGAGTGGATAAAAAGAATAAATACATAACACAGAACTTAATTGCAGAGAAAACAGTTGAGTGACTTGGTGTGACCCTGGAAGCCACGTGGGCGGTCGTGATGGCTTGAGCCAGGCTGAGAAGTACCCAGTGAGAGGTGGAAAAACCAGAACGGGAAGAACTCGGAGTCTGGGCCCATGTGGTGGCACCAAGGAGACCCCCATCGCTCCTCTCAGAGATGCAAAGTTCGCCCCGAAGGGAAGAGGAAGGCGCCAGTGTGTGTGGCCACTTGCCAAGTACCAGATTCTGCCACGTGTGGCGGTCAGCGCCTGGATACCGGGGCCAGACCTGGGGACTCTGTCTCTCCCAGCCAGTCCCTGGGCCCTGGCTATGCCTCAGTTTCCCCATCAGAAAATGAGGAGGGTTGGTCATAGGACCTCTGCAGGATGGAGGGGTGAAAACGGAGTGCTTAGCACCGTGCCCCGCACTGAGAAAGTGCGGAAATGCACCCTTCACCCTCCTCACAGCCGGAACAGTGGGATTTTCAGCACCATTTGGGAGGTGAGAATGGAGGAGAGACCATGCTGCCAGGGGCACACCGCCAGGATGGGGCTGGGCCTTGGCACCCAGTCTTCTTTAAAAAAAAAAAAATTCTTTATGGATTTTAGAGAGTGAGGGAGAGGGAGAGAGAGAGGAACATGGATGAAAGAGAACATTGATTGGCCGCCTCCTGCAAGCCCCCCACTAGGGATCAGGCCCACAACCTCTTGGTGCGTGGGTCAACGCTCCACCGCTGAGCCACACCGGCCAGGCGGCACCCACAGTCTTAGGGAGGGGTTTTAGGCTTCCGGGCAGACTGGACTCGGGGGAGGGTGCTCGCCCCAGAGGCACACAATCGTGCAGGCCCAGACTGTCGTAGGACCTGGACGGACATGGCCCGATGTTGCCCGGCCCCCAGCCTCCACTGGGCAGGCTCCGGGCTGCTGCTGCTGACAGGTCATCTTAATGCCGAGCTTTAAAAATGTTTCAATTTATGACACTTTAGGGAGTGGGAAGAAATACAGGGCCATCTCGGACTGATTTTCCATTATGGATGACCTGGTGTAAGAATAACTCACCACACATTATTTCCACGTGGAGGCTGTTTGACTGACGTTTTTATGAAGTCGGGTGGCATGTCAGGTGGGAGTCTGCCCGCGCCACCCCGAAAACGCCTTCGCGGGAGGCGCCCCGGCAGCGGGCAGAGCCAGTGAGGGAGGCGCCGCTTGTCGGCCCCTCCGAGGGTTACTGGGGTCTATTCTCCGGCCTGGCAGCCAGGGTGGTCATGGGACCTCGGGTAGCAGCTGCCACCTCACACCTTCAGCTCCGAGTCATGGGCTCATGGACGACGCGTCTGAGGCTGAGCAGGTCCCTTGGTCTCTCTGAGCATCGGTTCCCCACTCACGACGTGGGGGGAGGACCGGTT